TTATCTTTCCATATTTCCCCCCTTATTCTCTACATAGCAGAAGTTCTTCAAAGCCTAGGGGAAGTAGATAGTGTCCAATATCGATGAAGGATTTTTATGATAAATTTCTTTGGTTCTAATTGTTGGGGTTGGAGATTAAGATGCACATGTTTACTAGTAGATTATCATCTTACCCTGTTTGTTTTTATTGTCATATGTATGCTTATATTGAAATTCAAAAGTGAAAATCAAGACATTGTTTGACACCTGAGAGACCGAGTACTTACTAATTTGTCTTCACTCTAAAGCTACAAAAATCTTTAGTTTGTTTAGTGCATAACAATAAACATTTTGAGAAAATGGCACTTTGGGCACGGCATGGAGTGAGCAAAGGCACAGAGGCAGGACATAGCAGGAGCAGAACATCAGGTAGCGAGGCGTCTGGTGGGAAGCTGGACGGGTGGCAGCGAGTCCTGGGATATCAGCCTGTAGCCCCCTGTGTGGACCTGTGATCGGACGACTGGTCTCTACAGGCATTCAGCTCCAGTGGTGAAGGTAGCAATGGGGCAATGACATTTCCCATAGTTAACCTTTGAATACTTTAAAAATAATTACTTATAAGAACTCGTGTTCTTGGATCAAAATAGATAACACAACGTGATGTTCTTTATGAGGAAGTAAGTGCTGTAGTAAACCAATCCTTATAGACTGTTCTATAACCAAACGAGAAAAGCAATGAATTAGAGATTAGGTAACATTTTAAAAAATGAAAGATACAGATATAATTTAAATATGTATATTTAAATTATAATGGAAGATGTGTAAGGTAGGCCAGCAGTCAGTGAGTAGATGAGAAGGTCCATGGTCTCCTGCCTGTGTTCCTGCATCAGATGACCTCACCTACAACTGTCGGTCATTCTTAGGTATGGATTGCCGCTTCCTAAGAGCATATTACTGCATAAAAATAAGAGCAACGGAATAAATATTGCTAGTATTTTTCTTAACTACATTTATGTTTTTTAAGCGAGGAAGGTGCATATTCTTTATTTTTAATTTTTATTTATTGCTTGATTTTAGTGAGACAGAGGAAGGAAGAGAAAAACATCAATTTGTTGTTCTATTTATTGATGCATTCATTTGGTTCTTGTGCCCTTACCAGGGATCAAACCCACAACCTTGACATATCTGGACAACACTTTAATCAAGTGAGCTGCCTGGCCAGGGCTATCTTATCTAATAAAAGAGAAACATGCAAATTAACCATCACCCGCTACGTCCACCAGCCAATCAGGATTGATATGCAATTCAACCCAACAAAGATTGTGGTTAATATGCATTCACAGGCGCTGACCGACTGGGTGGAGGGGGGAGAGGAGAGGCATTCCGCCCCATCCTCGGTCTCTCAGGGCCTCTGGGCAGCATGAGAAGGCGGAGCTGGAGCAGAAATACGTGGCTTTGGGCCGGAGAGGAAAGGTGGTGCCAGCAGCAGGGAAAGGAAGGCCATTCTAGCACGAATCTTCGTGCATCATAGATTTAAACAAGAAATACCATCAAATTTTCTTTGGAACCCTTGTATGCCTCTCAGACTCCCATGCATTATCAGAAATTTGAGGAAGACATGGCCACACGGCCGGATTAGTGTTCTAGATTCACCATTGACAAGCTGCTTTATCTTTGACAAATTTTTCTTCTAAAATATCAGAGTTTTGTGGAAAATTCAATTAGATGTTTTAAGACATATGATACTTAGTGTGGAGTTATCTCATACATGTGTTTTCTTGTGGAAATTATTCATTATCATCAGTTTCACCTGCTGGTGGTGGATGGAAACGCTCCTCATTGTTGTTTTAAACATGTCCCCTAAGCAAGGCAGCCGTTTCATCTAAGATGCACTTGAAGAAAGAAGCTCAATGCTGTAAAGCACGAATGCATTAGGCTAGCTGAAAGGTGGTATATTTGTATTCAGTGGTTTGGGTTGACCTTAGAACCTAACATCTGTCTTAGGAGTCAGCTAGCCTTGAACAAATGTTTACCCAAATAGTGGTACCTTGCAACTTCTCATTTAATGTATTTGCTGTAACACAGCTGTCTCTATGTTTAAATGCTTCTTAATATCTTTTATAGAATATAGAGTTCTCATTATTCTTCTTTGGAACAGTGGAAATGTAATACAGTTAACCTTTTAACAACACAGTTGAGAATCTGCATAATTTGACTCCCTCAAAACTTTACTAGCATAGCCTACTGCTGACTGGAAGGCTTACGAATAACATGAACAGTCGATTAACACATCTTTTGTATGTAAAGGTATTATACACTGTATTCTAACAATAAAGTAAAGCTACAGAAAAAAATTATTAAGAAAATCATAAGGAGAAAAAATATTATCTTTAGACATATTTTTCTCTATTTATTGAAAATAATCCATGTCTAACTGGACCTGTGCAATTCAAACCCATGATCAGGAGTCAAATGTACTTCATTTATTACTGGTGGTGTTACTGGTTGAGCCCAAGTAATTGTTGGCCTGTAGACTAGTTGAGTCTTTGGCTCTCTGAAGGCACCAGGACTGGGAACTGTTCTTGAAGCCTCGCAATTTTCTAATAGAGTCTAAACAAGTTTTCTGACTTATCATTTGATGTTTTGAATCACAGAGAAACTTGGATAATTGAAGGGAATAAATGTATTTTTATCTTGTTCTTATTATCAAGGAATGAGATAAAAATGAAATTTTAAAATGATCTTCCTTTTAGGAGGATTGCCCTAAGTTTCTACAATACCTTTTGGTAGCAAGTATTTATTTTTAATTTAACATTTTTTTAATTGCAGTGTACATTCAATATTATTTTGTATTAGTTTCAGGTGTACAGTACAGTGGTTAGACAATCATATACTTTTTAAAGTGTTCCCCTGATATTTCCAGTACCCAATTGGCACCGTACATAGTTATTACAATGTTGTTGACCATATTTCCTAAGCTGTAATTTACAGCCCCATATTTTATACCCACTAATCTACTTCTCAATCCCTTCGCCTTGTTAACCCAGTCTCCCAGCCCTCCTCCCCTCTGGCAACCATTACTCTGTTTTTAGTATCTATGAATATGTTTCTGCTTTGTTTGTTCCTTTATACTGTTCATTAGATTCCACTATAAGTGAAGTTCTGTGGTATTTGTCTTTCTGTGACTGGCTTATTTCACTTAGCATATACCTTCTAGGTCCATCCATGCTCTCATGACTAGTAAGATTTCGTTCTTTTTTATGCCGAGTAATATGCTTTGGTATATATATACCACAGCATTTTTATCCACTCGTGTATTGATGGGCATTTGGGTTGCTTCCATAGCTTGGCTGCTGTAAATAATGCTGCAACCCTGGCTGGTTTGGCTCAGTGAATAGAGCATCTGCCTGCAGACTGAAGGGTCCCAGGCTTGATTCCAGTGCAAGGCACATGCCCAGACTGCTCACCCAAAAGAAGGGGCCGCAGAGAGGAAAGTGTAGAGCAGTGTGATGTGTTTTAAGTTCAGTTTCACATAAATTCATTCTGTTCACGTTGATTGCATATCAGCAGAGGAAAGCTTTAAGAATTAAGGACAACTAGATTCAATTGCAGAAGCTTATAAGTAGCTAGATTCATTAAAAAAGATAAGCAAGTAAATACTTTAAACTTCCACTGACCTTATTAAAATATATTAGAAATATTTTTGAGCTATTCTTATAAATTAGTCATCATCTCGCAAACATTTTGACACAATGAAAAGAGCCGTCGTCTATAAAAGTAGGAGACTGGGAGGTCCTTCCCAGGGAGGTCAAATGGCATGCTAACATCCGCTGGGCGAGGAAGCCGTGGGTGTGAGGGTTGATTCCGATGATCTACCTTTAAAAGACTTCGATGAGTCTGTACTCGAATTCAGAAACCACGTTCAGAACTTGCCAGGAAGCGTGGGTGGGAGGAGAAGCCTCGCCTAGCGCAGAATCGCAGTGTTACTTGTTCTAGGATACCATTTCCGTCTGGCTCCTGCAGGGCGAATGGTGTGGAGTTAGGTTTCTGCTGTCATAATAGATTATCATCTGGTTGCTCAGGCAGGAAGGTATTGAATGGCTTGCAGGATTGTTGGGAGTCTGAGGACACAGATTCCAGCTGAGCTTCCAGGCACAACTCCCCAAAGCCACAGCGCAGGACAGAGTGACCAGGGCGCTGCTGCCTCGCCGTGAAGGGGAGCCCTAGCGTGGGGAGACTACCTGGAAGGCCAAAGCTCGCCTCTGCTGCAGCCTGTCTCAGCCCGAGGACCCCTGTCCCTCCTCCCCAGCGCCGTCCACTCCAGGCCAGGCCACATCTTTCCAACTGGCAGACCCTAGATCACATCTGAAATCCTAGTTGCAGGGAGTCCTGAGGTGTCATCTCCCCAATCTTTGTGGGCCAGAAGGGGTTGGGGACGCATGGACAAGCCAATTCACTGTTGTCACCAAGTATTTATGATGAACAGGAGGCCCAGTGCATGGCTAGGGTCCCTAGGCCTAGCCTGTGGTCAGGGCCATCTTCCCCTGCTCGCCAGCCCCCAGTCCCGCCCCGCCGCCACCACCCTGGTTCCCATGGTTCCCTATTGGCCATCCAGCGATCGGAGCCCGAGGCGGGGGGAGGGACCACGAGGTGGTCAATGCACCTCAGCAACTGATTGACCATTTGTTCTGGGCGTTATGCATTATGGTCGCTGGCCTTTTATTATATAGGATAATGTTTGTGTGTTTCTTTCTTATAGTTTGCAGAATAGACTCACATTTATTTTGATTTCTACATATTAATATGCTATTTCTGGCCATTCTCAAGAAAACAGCCCTGATAAAAACTGAGAGCAGCACCTACATTATTTCCAAAGACACAAAGCTGATGCAGAACAGGATTTTAAATGTGGGCTCTCCTTCCAGACCCGGGTGTTTCCTCCACATCCGTTCTGTCCCCACCCGCGTCTTTCCCCACGAACGCCCGCCACCTTTGCGACTGACTTGCTCTTTGCCGTGCAGACCTGTGCGTGCGGAGCCGGAGCCCGAGGCCACCGCCCCCGGCTGCTGGCCCGGCGTCTTCGTCAGCAGAGCCCCCGCAGCGCCTTTGGAGCCCGCCACCACCGTGAAGTCCCTCATCAAGTCCTTTGACTTGGGACACCCAGGTATTTAATCGTCTTGTTTTATAAGCAAAACTCAGTTCCATCCAAGGCCCCAAATATCAAGCCTGTCTCTACTCTACACTGACCCAAATTGGTGCATCCACAAGGGTTTCTTCTAGATCATTCCACAGCAAGCCTCTGCACACAAGAGATGTGCTGCAGCTGCAGTGAGCTGGCCATGGGCAGCCTCCCTCCCTGCCTCCTCCTCGCCTGCTCCTGCCTCGCCACCTTCCTTTGCCGTTCTGTCCATAAAAACCAGGTCCCTGCTGTTTTATCCGCTGTCTGTGGTCTGAGGTCAGCCAGAGCTTCACCTCCTGGGAAGGGAGCATTGCTCCTTGGGGTCGGTGCTCTGGTTGTGCCTGGCCCGCATCATCCTGCAGCACACAGGTGGGCTTTCCTGCACCTGGTCTTGTCTTACGTGCAGCCACTATGCCATCTGTCATTGCTGATCTCAGTACAGCCTGCCTCTTTCTGGAAATGTCACCTTTAGCCACTGTTATCCACATATAAGAAAAAATGTATATCTATTTCTCTATACACATAAATATAATAAATAGGAAAACCAAATGTGCATCTGCCCAAAATAACAATGTATTTCTTCACTTGACTCAACAAATATGCTTATTGTTTTTGGAAGACTGGAGTAATAGCTGATCTTAGGATGATCCTGTTTTGTTTTGTTTTTTTCTGTTAAAATACTTTGTAGCTAAGTTAGATTAAGATTAGACTACAAATATTGAAAGAGATGAAATCTCAGTGACTACATTCAGTCTATGAAGATGGGAAATGAATCAATAGTGGTTTATGCAAGAATTTTCCTGTTCCAGCCTAGACTGGTTTGGCTCAATGGATAGAGCGTCGGCTTGGAGACTGAAAAGTCCTGGGTTCGATTCCGGTCAAGGGCATGTACCTTGGTTGCGGGCATATCCCCAGTTGGGGGTGTGCAAGAGGCAGCTGATCGATGACTCTCTCTCATCGATGTTTCTAACTCTCTATCTCTCTCCCTTCCTCTCTGTACAAAATCAATAAAATATATTTAAAAAAAAAAAAAAAAAAGAATTTTCCTGTTCCTTATTGTCCTGTATCTAAGACCAACACCACTTAGTTCATTCCTCCCCTCTCTGCAGTTCAGCACTCGTCCACAGGGGAACAGGAGGAAAGAGTATATACATACCACTTTATAAACAGCATGGCAGACATTTTTAGTTGCCAAAAAAGTAACAAATCAGGAGCTATTTGCGATTTCAAACTCCCTACACATCAAAGCTCCCATCTCTTGCAGGTGGAGCCGGACAGAATGTTTCGGCCCACAAGCCGCCCAGAAGCCCCCTGAGCGGAATACCAGTGAGGACGGCCCCAGCGGCCGCCGTGTCTCCAATGCAGGTACTAGAGGGGGTGCATGTGGGGGTGGTCTGTGTCTTCTACACGAGTGACAAAAGGGAGTAAAAACCAATTGGTTTATTTTTTGAGACAGGTTAAACATTTTTGATAAACCTAAAGTAATAATAGTTTAACTTTCTTCTTTTATATAAATTTTCTGGATTTCAGAGAAAGAGGGAGAGAGAGAGACAATCATTTATTGGCTGCCTCCTACACGCCCACAACCTGGGCATGTGCCCAACTCAACCACTGAGCTATGCCAGCCAGATAATACTAGTTTAATTTTAATTAAAATGTACACTTTTCATGCCTAATAAAGGTCCAAGAGAGACACAATAAACCTCATACAATTTTGGTAATTTTTTTCCCTGTAAGATGACACTTTTGAAGTTTTCAGTTAAATGAAGATTGTAATTTTTACTAGAAATGAACATTGAACTAGATTTTTTTTCCAAGGAAGTGTTTTTTCTTAAACGCCCTCAGAGAGAAAGTTTACAGTTTATAAATTCTTAAGAGCTCTCTGGAAGCTTCCTGCCATCTGTGCTGCTTCTGATGGTTTTAGACCAAATCTTCTTGGCATTTTCTAAGACCAGGGCTTTTTCTTTTATATATATATTTTCTAATTTTTATTTATTTTTAAAAACACTTTTTAAAAATAATTATTTATTGTTGACAGTATTACATGTCCTCCATTTCCCCCCACTCGAACCCTACCCCCCTACAGCCCACTCCACCCCCTGCCCCAGGCCTTCAGCACCCTATTGTCTCTGTCCAGGGGCCATGCATATGTGCACACAAGGTCTTTGGTTGATTAGCCCCTCCACCCACCCTCCCCACCTTCCCTCTGAGATTCCGCACTCTGCTCCATGCTTCCATGTCTCTGGATCCACTCTGTTCCTCAGTTTATTTTGTTAATTAGATTCCACATATGAGTGAGATCACGTGATACTTGTCTTTCTCTGACTGACTTTTTCACTTAGCATGATGCTCTCCAGGTCCCTCCATGCTGTCTCAAAGGGTAAGAAATTCTTGTTTTTTTACTGCTGCATAGTATTCCATGATGTAAATGTACAACAGCCTTTTATCCACTCGCCTGCTGATGGGCACTTGGGCTGTTTCTAGATTAGCTATTGGAGATTGTACTGCTGTGAACACAGGGGTGCATACATTCTTCTGCTTGGTTTTTCAGGTCTCTTAGGATATATTCCTAGAAGTGGGGTCACTGGGTCAAATGGCAGCTCCATATTTATTTAATTTTTTTTGGCGGGGGAGACTCCATACTGCTCTCCACAGTGGCTACACCAGTCTGCATTCCCACCAGCAGTGCACGAGGGCTCCCTGTTCTCCACATCCTCACCACACTTGTCATTTGATGATTTGTTGATGGTAGCAATTTTGACAGGTGTGAGGTGGTACCTCACTGTTATTTTAATTTGCATCTTTCTGATGATCAGTGACTTTGAGCATTTTTTCATATGTCTCTTGGCCGTCTGTATGTCCTCTTTGGAGGAGTGTCTATTTAAGACCTTTGCCCGTTTTTCAGTTGGATTGTTTGTCTTCCTTTTGTTAAGTTGTTTGAGTTCCTTATGTATTTTGGATATTAACCCTTTATCAGATGTGTCATTGCTAAATATATTTTCCCATACAGTGGGCTCCCCTTTCATTTTGATGGTTTCTTTTGCTTGCAGAAGCTTCTTATTTTTGTGTAGTCCCATTTGTTTATTTCTCCTTAGTTTCCTTTGCCCTAGGAATCTAATTTTGATTCCTGATGGGCACTTGGGCTGTATCTGTAAACATTGCTATGAGATGTCTTAAGATTTTGTTGCTGCCGAAACCGGTTTGGCTCAGTGGATAGAGCGTCGGCCTATGGACTGAAGGGTCCCGGGTTCGAGTCCGGTCAAGGGCATGTACCTTGGTTGTGGGCACATCCTCAGTAGGGGGTGTGCAAGAGGCAGCTGATAGATGATTCTCTCTCATCGATGTTTCTAACTCTCTATCCCTCTCTCTTCCTATCTGTAAGAAATCAATAAAATATATATATATATTTTTTTTAAAGATTTTGCTGCCCATGATTTCTTCTGGGATTTTTATAGTTTCCTGACTTACATTTAAGTTTTTTATTCATTTTGAGTTTATTCTTGTGTATGTTGCTGGTCTAGTTTCATTTTTTTGCCTTGCATCTGTCCAATTTTCTCAACACCACTTACTGAAAAGACTGTATTAACTCCACTGTATGCTCTTGCCTCCTTTGTCAAATATTAATTGGTGTCTCCGTTCTGTCCCATTTATCTATATGCCTGTCCTTGTGCCAGTACCAGGCTGTTTTGAGTACAGTGGCTTTGTAGTATAACTTGAAATCTGGTACTGTGATTCCTCCATCTTCATTTTTCTTTCTAAAAATTGCTGTAGCTATTTGGGGGTCTTTTTTTTTTTTTTAATTCCATATAAATTTTTGGAGTATTTGTTCTAGATCTGTGAAATATGCCATTGGTATTTTAATAGGGATTGCATTGAATCTGTAGATTGCCTTGGGTAGCATGGACATTTTGATGATATTAATTAGATCATCAGTCCATGAACCTGGAATACTCTTCCACTGGCTTATAGCTTCTTCTATTGTTATTTTCAATGTCAAGTAGTTTTCCAAGTACAAGTCTTTTACCCCTTTGGTTAAGTTTGTTCCTAAGTATTTTTTTTTTTAAGTTTCTCTTTCTGAGAATTTATTATTGGTATATAAAAAAGATACCCATTTGTGGATGTTGATTTTATATTTTGCTACATTGCTGAACTTCTTTATTAACTCTAGTAGATTTTTGTAGAGTTTTCAGGGTTTTCTATGTATAAAATCATGTCATCTGTGAATAATGAGAGTTTTACTTCCTCCTTTCCAATTTGGATGCTTTTTATTCCTTCTTTTTGCCTGATTGCTGTGGCTAGGACTTTTAGTGCTATGTTGAATAAGAGTGATGAAAGTGGACATCCCTGTCTTGTTCCTGTTCTTAGGGGAAATAGTTTTAGTTTTGCCCACTGAGCATGATGTTGGCTGTAGGTGTGTCATATATGGCATTAATTATGTTGAGATATACTTCCTCTATTCCCATTTTGCTGAGAATTTTTATCAAAAATGAGTGTTAGATTTTGTCATATTTGTTATGATCATGAGATTTTTTTTCCTTTCAATTTGTTTATGTGATGTGCTTATTGATTTGCATTATTTGTTTATTAACTATTGTACCAGCCTTGCATCTCTGGAATAAAAATCCCAGTTGGTCATGGTATATGATCTTTTTACTATATTGCTGGATCTGATTTGTTAATATTTTGTTGAAGATTTTACATGTGTGTTCATCAGGGATGTTGGCCTGTAATTCTTTCTTTGTAGTGTCTTTATCTAGTTTTGTAATTAGGATAATGCTGGCCTCATTAAAGGAGCTTGGATGTGTTCCTTCCTCTTTAAGATCAGGGCTTTTGATATGATAAGTAACATTCAGCACTCTGCTTCTTCTGCACTAAGGTCGATGCTGTCATTAACAGGTGTCCTTGATAGCTATGCATATTGTTTGGTATCTTTTAAAGTGTTTCTGTTTATTTGTTTGTTTTACTTTTTGCCTTTTAAGGTATATTCCACCATCTTATATATAAAACCAAATAAAATAATTATTTATACTTTGATAATCATCAAATCTATTTAATCACTTATCGGCTGCCTTCTGCATGTCCCCTATGGGGGAATCAAGCCCACAGCCCAGGTGTGTGCCCTGATTGGGAATGAAACTGTGACCTCCTGGTTCATAGGTCGACACTCAAACACTGAGCCATGCCAGCCAGACTCCACTGGCCAGTTTGGTTCCATGGTTAGAGCCTTGAGCTGCAGTCTGAAGGGTCACTGGTTTGATTCCTGGTCAAGGGCACGTACCTCAGTTTTGGTGCATTTAGGAGGCAACCAAATGAGGTGTCTCTGAGGTCGATATTTCATTTATTTAAAATATATTTTTATTGATTTCATAGAGGAGAGGAAAGAAAGAAAAGGAAATATCAATGATGACAGAGAATCATTGATCTGCTGCCTCCTGCACATCTTCTACTGGGGACTGAGCCTGCAACCCAGGCATGTGCCCTTGACTGGCATTGAACCTAGGACCCTTCAGTCCGCAGGCCGATGCTCTATCCACTGAGCCAAACAGCCAGGGCATCGATGTTTCTTTCTCTCTCTGTTTCTCCTCCCTCCCTTCCTCTCTCTCTAAAATAATAATAATAATAATAATAATAGTAATAATAATAATGAAAAATTTTCCTGGTGAGGATTAAAATAGTAATACCCTGTTTCCCCGAAAATAAGACATCCTCCGAAAATAAGACCTAGCGCAACTTTGGGAGAAAAAGTTAATATACCCTTCTAGATTTTTTTTTAGCATAACAGTGTGTGTGTGTGTGTGTGTGTGTGTGTGTGTGTGTAGGAAAAGTTTTGTAAATTGGAATACACTATACACTATACATTATTCAGATACTGGCTCATTTCACTTGGTTATTGAAATATAATCCTTAAGGTCAGAGATTTTTATCTAGTTTGATTGCTAGTATATCTCTTGCCTATAACACTGGCTAGCACTTAGTTATATAGAGGAAGCTCAATAAATATTTGTTTAATGAATGAAGGACTCTATCAAAGACATCTTTAAATTTCAGTATTTAGGAAAATAATTCATTTTTAAGGCTATATTATATGCAACTATTTATTTAAACACACCTTTATTGATGGACATTTAGCTTAATTTGGATTAAACTTATTAAAGAACAATACAATGAAATTATTTTCATATATCTGTTGGCCATTAAAAAAACAGTGTTTTTACACAGACCCTTGAATATGCATAGAATATTTCAGGAAGACAGTCACAAAGCTGTTCAATAATGATTACACCTGCCCAGTCAGTGTGGCTCATCGACTCATGAGCCAGAAGTCACAGGTGGATTCCTGGTCAGGGCACGTGCCCCGGTTGCAGGCTCAATCCCTTGTGTGAGGTGCGCAATGATTCTCATCATTTCTCTCACTCCATCTCCTTTCCTCTCTCTAAAATCAATGAAAACTTTTCTAAAATTTAACTAAAATATGATTTCCCCCAGGGAGAGGAACAGGAAAGGCAGACTTCCTTCTAACTATGTGTCTTCTCTAGACCTTTTGAGGATCACACCAAGTGAATTTATTGTCTTTTCGAACTATCAATAATATGTTGTTGAAAAGCTCCCTCTGGTGATTCTGATGGACTTGAGAACCTGTGTACATACATGTGTGCACACACCTTGCTTGAGCTGGTCCTGATGTCACAAGTTCACCTGCTGGTGTGCCCTTTGGTTTTGCAGAGGCATTCCACCTATAGCGGCATCCACCCAGCCAGCAAAGGAGTGGCCCAGCGCCTGGATCTTCCCGACCTGCCCCTCTCAGGTGAATGGTCTTCAGCATGATTACTTACCTTTTTGTGGGGTTCACTTTCCTTAGCATGAACCGTGCTTAGAAAAGTAGTGCTGATTATTGCAGACGAGGCCGGGCTCGGTGTGTGACGGGGGTGAGAGCGCCGGGCGCCGGGCCGCGTCTGGCTGTGGGAGCTGTGCTTGTTTGTTTTATACTAAATCTCAGGGGGGAAATATTTTAAGAAAGAAAAATCATATCTGATTCTGACAGTCTATTCCTTCCATAATTTCTAAAATAGAACTTCTGAGATATTTCTGTCTTTGAGAATAACCCTCATCCACATATTATTGAAAGTCACATCCTCACAAGGAATTGCTGGTTGTAGCTGAATTCCTCAGTGTCACATGTTCACTCCTGCTCTGCCTCCCCCACTGGAAGCCAGTCACACAGAGTTACAGGGCACACGGCTACAGGGCACATGGTTACAGGGCACACGGTTAGGGGCACATGGTTACAGGGCACACGGTTACGGGCACTCAGTTACTGGGGACACGGTTACAGGGCACACTGTTACGGGGCACACAGTTAGGAGCACATGGTTACAGGCACTCGATTACTAGGTACACGGTTACGGGGCACACAGTTATGGGGCACATGGTTAGAGGCACACGGTTACAGGGCACTCGGTTATGGGGCACTCAGTAACGGGACACTCAGTTACGGGGCACATGGTTACGGGGCCTGGGTTACTGGGGACACAGTTACGGGGCACATGGCTATGGGGCACATTGTTACAGGGCACTCAGTAACGGGACAATTGGTAACGGGGAACACAGTTACAGGGCACTCAGTAATGGGGCACACGGTTATGGGGCACATAGTTATGGGGCACTTGGTTACTGGGGACACAGTTATGGGGCACTCGGTTACGGGGCACTCGGTAACGGGGCACTCGGTAACAGGGCACTCGGTTACGGGGCACTCGGTAACGGGGCACTCGGTTACGGGGCACTCGGTAACGGGGCACTCGGTTACGGGGCACTCGGTAACGGGGCACTCGGTTACGGGGCACTCGGTAACGGGGCACTCGGTTACGGGGGACCAGGAGAGGGATGCTGCGTTTGAACTGGCACTGCCACCTGCAGCCCTGCTGTGGCCATGCCATCCCACCTTAGTGCAGTGGTCTCTCCTCTCCAAAGTGCAAAGCACACGCTGTCTGCTGGTAGACGCTGCCAGGGAGGAGGGGACTCGGCCCCCGGCCGGGTGCTGCACCAGGCTCGCTCTTGTCCGGCCCCCCTGTCTGCTCACCGGCTCACCTGCAGGCAGAGACCTGAGCAGCAGTGAAGGTTGTCTGGAGTACACACCTCAGCCGCGTAGGTAGAAGTCCTTTGCTTTTACGTTAAGACAGAACTTCTGTAACGTGGTGTGAACAAAAAGTACATTCCCACTGCACTTCTTTGGGGTCATGGTCAGATGTGGACAGATTTAATTCTGAAAATAGTTGTTTCTGTAAGGTGAGTTTCCCTCTTTGATTGTAAATTCTTTTACCTTACTACCTTATTTTCCCCTCTGAGTTCCGTTTGCTTGTTCATGGCTTGAGGACTTTAGAGTGAATAAATACTGACAGCGGGAATCTAAGTTCCCTGGGCCTGTGCGCTGCAGGTGACAAGTGAGACCCAGCCCTACAGCAGCTACTCGGCTCCGGGACCAGGAGCGTTCTCCTCATTTCCCCGCAATGTGGCCTCTCGGTCGTGAGGCTGGTGACAGCTCCGATTCACAGCTTCATAAAGACACGATGAAGGTTTGCAAAGGCTTTTGCTTCATAGTACTGATGCCAGGAAGAAGGAAATGGTGGCCAAGGACCAGTGGGTAGTCCAAGGTTGGCAGAGTGAGAAAGACAGTGAAGGGGTGAGTGAGGCCCAGAGCAGGTGGTTATTCCTGTGCCAATGGAGGGTGCCAGGGAGCAGCTTGCCTGTAGGCATAGTGCTGGGCATCTTAGGCACATGTGGCTTTGATTGTGGTAAATACCTATGACACAGCATTTATTATCTTAACCATTTTCAAGTGTAGTAGGTGAGCCTTAGGTCACAATATTTGTCTTTTCCGTTCTTCCAGCTTTGAAATTCCCATTTGTGTAGAGAAAGCCTTCTAATTGACAGGTAAATGCTGGCGCTGAGACCACAGCAGCTGGTGCCTCCAGTGACTAGTTGTTGGCACGCCCCGCTCCCCACCGGCACCTGTCTCCCCACCAGGCACCTGTCTGCGGCGACTGTTTACTCTCTGAGAGGGATTACCGTGAAAACCGCTTGCTTTTAGGCTGGACAACACTGAGTCATCAGAGACTGTAGAAATGGGATTAGTGTGTTTTTGTTGTTTTCTTCAGTGGTGTAAGCACTGTTTTCCCTGCCCTTCCAGCTCCCCATAATTGGTGGCTGTTAGTGTACAAACAGTATTTTCTTCCATGACTATTTAAGGGGCCGAGGGGGTGACTGAGGGCTCGCCTGTGGCACCGAGCAGGCACTTCATTCTCCGAGCTCCCCTTTCCTTTGTCAATACAAACTAGCCCAGAACGTTCTCGCCGGATGCCTGGCCCGGTGAGAACTGTCAGCTAGAATCAGCCTGCTTTGTTACCTGTGTTGACTCAGACGAATGTGACAGCAGAGAGGAGCCTGAAGAGAATTCCTTTTACTTATTTTTAGAAAGCCAGGGGTTTTCGCCTGTAAAATAATTGTCATTCTTGGTGCCCAGCTCTGTCTGCTGCCATTGTGAGCTGATGGGCCCTTAGGCGCCTTCCTGCCAGCCCCCTCTCAGATGCCCATCAGTGAGAGTCGCGTTCCGGCCTCGAGGACAGCACTGGCCTTGTGGGCACTGGCCTGTGCAAGGGCACAGGCTCTTAAAAAGGGCGCAGGCCCAGCACTCTGGTGCATCTTGAAATCCTGAATGGTTTTTAAAAAGGGGTAATTTGGCATTAGTCCTTTGAATTATATGGTCATCCCTGCCTGAGCAGTCCTTTCTAGAAAATATTACTTCCCTACTTGCATTTCTATTGCTTATCTAGAAACTGTGTCTGTTATCTGTTTGTATTTGGAATACAATGAGAATTGTACTGTACAATGGTACTGCACGGAACAACGTTTTAAAAAGTGTGCGGAGTAGTGATCATGCTGTTCTGCACACAGGTCTTCTGAAGGGAAGAGCTGACACCCTGAAGCCAGACCCTTATCTCCGCAAGAGCCCCTCCCTGGAGTCGCTGAGCAGACCCCCGGCCCTGGGCTTCGGAAGCACGCGGCTGCTGAGCACGTCCACCGGGGGCCTGAGGCCGCCCAGCAAACTCAGGTACCACGTCTGAGAAAGCAGACAGCGGGCCGATGCCCTGTGTTCTTCCTTCGTCTGTCTATTCCTTATGTTACAGAATTTACCAGGCAACTGAAAAATACACGGGCGTGCCGGGAGATACAGGAAACCCATTTAGTTCCAGATGCACTAGTTCCAAATGCTGAGCAAGCCAGCATGGAGGGAGCTTTCTCTTATACCCTTTGGTTTCTTTGTCCCCAAATAAGGATCAGACTTCAGACCTTCCCAGGCTTTGCAAAAAGCCCCGTGTGTTGGGATGGGGGCCGTGAGAGCACACCTAAAGGCCTGGCCTGGCGCCAGCGCTGACACTTCTCCGGGGGTTGTGTTTGGTTCATGGTTTATGACCTCTGCAAAATGGGGGTTATAAGTAAATAGGTCTTGCAAGACCAGATAATTAAGGGAGGAGCAGTGACTAGGCTATATAGGCTGCCAGAGATGTGCATTAGGGATATTGATTAACCAGGTACAGAGTTAGGCTGCTAGGTCCCTCACTCCCCCAAAAAATTTCTTATTTTTTTCATCAGCCCTGCTCCCCCTAAACCCTAACCCTAACCCTAACCACCACCCCCCCCCCCACCTCCAAGCTGATTTCCAGCCTTGGGGATTCAATAGAAGACTCGGAGCTAGGGAGTGGGGTGTTCAGCAGCGTGAGTTTTTTCATTTTTATTACCCAAGGGATTGTGGTCGCAGTCCAGAGACCTGGTCTGGAGTAACATCCGGGGCTTCAGGGCTTACTGATTCCATTAGCTGTTCTAAACCTGTTGGCTTCTTAGCGGAAGGGAAAGGGAGTCTGCACGGGTTTCTTCATCTCCAGCTTCAGAGCAGTTGGAGTGGTGAGAAGCACGTCTTTCCTCATCACTTATGGACACTTTACTTCTACACATACTTCCTGAGTGAAATGGTCAAGACCCGGCGCCTGCCTTCAGGAGGGAGAGGATCTGGGCAGTAGAGGCAGAGTGACGTGAGGGCTGTGAGGCAAGGACCGAGCTGGTGCTCGGCGCTGCTGTGGGACAGAAGCCGGGAGAGGAGGCAGCAGTTCTGGGGCGCCTGCAGGGATCCAGGCCAAGCCGTGAGCCGGGGCTGCGGCTGCAGTGGTTGAGGGTCTGGTGCAGGTGTGGTAGCTTCCCGCCAGGAGGGGCTGGGAGGTGGGTCCTTAGGACATCACTCCAGGAAAGGCCGGTGGGAGCCATGGTGCAAATGCCAACATCAGATGCTGGCACTCGTTTTGGTAAAGCAGTGGGACCCACCAGGTCTGGTTCTGATGTGTGTAGTGGTAGTAGGACAGTGAACAGTGGCTGCAGAAATGGGACAGACTGTGCAGGAGGTTTCACTGACCCCCTGGGGCATCAGCACTCCTTTCTCTGCCTTTGGCATCTCCGCTCCTTTGGGTGTTTAATTCACTCTGCAGAGCAGCATGTCTTCGCCCTTGTTAAGACTAATTAGTGGACATTAAATTCTTTGTGTTACTTTTTTTTTTTAAATATATTTTATTGATTTTTTACAGAGAGGAGGAGAGAGGGATAGAGATCGATGAAAGAGAAACATCGACCAGCTGCCTCTTGAACACCCCCTACCAGGGATGTGCCCGCAACCAACATACATGCCCTTGACTGGAATCGAACCTGGGACCTTTCAGTCCGCAGACCGACGCTCTACCACTGAGCCAAACCGGTTTTGGCTTTGTGTTACATTTTTATGGCATTCTCAACTTCTTGTGTTGTGGTATACTTATAGCATTTCACTCAATAAACAGGTAGATATTAAAAATTGGTAGATAGCTCGGCTGGCATGGATCAATGGTTGAGAGTCAACCTATGAACCAGGAAGTCACAATTCAATTCCTAGTCAGGGCACATGCCCAGGTTTTGGGCTCAATCCCCAGCAGGCAGCCAATCAGTGATTCTCTCTCATCATTGATGTTTTGATTTCTCTCTCCCTCTCCCTTCCTCTCTGTAATCAATAATAAAAAAATATTTATAAAAATGAAACAAGAATGGGTAAGTACTCCAATAGATGAGTATACGGAATTGGCTATCTTAGGAGTAATGGCTTTTTAACAGATATTACAACTACCATTATGAATATTATAAAAGGATTTTTTGAAGTCTTAATAAGTTCAGCTCTTGCCATATATTTCAGTAGTTATTATTTGGGCCCAAATAAATGAAATCATATCATTCAGAGGTTTAATTAAAAGCTTCAGGTATTACATGTCAGTCTCGTTTATGTGCAAGAGATTGAAATAATCAAAACAGGTTTTAAGGGCCAAAATTAGTGCTATTCTGAAATGGCTCTGTTACACTTTATTTTTTTCTAGGTTCTCTTTTCTTTGTGCCAGAAATGCATTCAAAAAGAGCTATTTATACTATACCCTTAATCATGAAAGCTTAAATTAGTAAAATTAATTTGTTACTTGTTTTTATATTCATGTCACTGAGTAAAACCAATGGCAGGATAGAAATTATGTTGGAAGTTCTCATCCTATTATTAATTTTTTTTTTTTTTGCAATCATATCTAGGTAGCTCTGTTGTTGTTTTTTTGTTTGTTTGTTTTTTCATATAGAAGGAGGACACACAGATCATAGCAGTGCTGATCTATCCCACAAGCATAGCCACTGGAATCTATTGGGAGAAAACGTGGCAGTCAAATGGGAAAGGTAGCTCTGTTTCTAAAAGAAAGCTGTTTGGTAAATGTTTTAGTCACCCATTTACACAGAAACTCCCTCCTAATGTTCATTTAGTCTTCCCTAGTTTGTCACGCCTAGACATTCAACTCTAAGAAATGGAATAGGTCCAGGCAGGCACAGCAAACACAAGCAAAGTCACCATAACTTCATAGTTAGAAGAAACTTGTGTGTTTGAGTTTACAAATGTGTCAGATAGAAGGAAAGGTAGGCATCACATTTTACAAGAACATTTTAATTCAAGTATAAAGTTTTCCTTAAAGCCTCCCTACCTTGATGCAGATTCTCACAGTCTAGACTCATCCCATTACTCCTTTTAAATCATTTAAAATATGTTTATTAAATATTGGATGGATACAGAATAATAATAAAATATGTGTAAAGTATAAGGAATATCAACCCAATGAAGGGCAACCTGGACACCCACCTTCCAGTTTAAGGGAAACGAAAATTAATACTTTTGAACTTCCTGTCAGCCCCTGCCATTTGCAGTACCTCCTGCCCCTGGTCCTTGCCCTCCTCCAAGGTCACCACCATTCTGAACTCTGTGTGTTTTTTCTGCTTTTCTTTACAGCTTCTCCATGTATTTTGTATACCCAAACAATACAAATAGCATTTTAATTAAGTTGCATATTTAAATTTTATTTATTCATTTAATCCTCACCTGAGGATATTTGTATTACTACTGACTTTTAGAAAAAGAGGAGAGAGAGAGGAAGAGAGAGAGAGAGAGAGAGAGAGAGAGAGGAAGAGAGAGAGAGAGAAAGAGAGAGAATGTGAGAAACAAATGTGAGAGAGCTTTGCCTCCCATACTAGCCCCAACTGGGGATCAAATCCAAAATCTAGATATGTACCCTGACCAGGAATCAAACCCACACCCTTTGGTGTCTGGTCTGATGTTCCATCCGGCTGAGCCAGCTGGCCAGGGCATGTTTACAACTTTGTGTACATACACACATTGTGGGAGTTAATTCAAAATTGTTCCTGCTGTTCATTCAGGTTATTACATACATCTGTAATTCATTGGTTTTTATTGCTGAATGGTATTCTGTTATGTAAATGTCCCCAGTTTATCATTTTCCTGATAATGTGCATTTGGTTGTTTCCAGTTTTCGCTGTTATAAAAAGGGCTGCCGCAATTGCCAGCGATTGGACTTCGGTTTAGAAACCTCAGTACTTGAGTTCTAGCTAAGAAAGGCTTCAGAGCCAAGACTCAAACTGCAAGAAGCAGTTTATTTAGACAGTCACAGGGTAGAATGAGTGAGCTATAGAAGAAAGGGGTCAGGAAACAAGCGGCAGAGGCAAAAGCAGGGCCCTTGGAGCTTAGGGGGAGAGGAAGGAAACCATGGGGAAAGGTAGGCTGTGCTCCCAGAGGGCCTTGCTGGTCCGCCATCGTGAGGGCTTCCGGGGAAGCCCCAGGGGAGGATCTCAGTAGAGTACTGGTCATCTCTCCAGGGGTGTCCTTTCAGGGTCATGGTCCCCACTGATTGGTCGGCACCAGGGCAAGGTGTCATTTGTCACTGTAGCTGGTCTTAAGGTCAGTCCCTTGTCTGGTTTTGCCTCTTTTCTGGGCCTGGAGCAGAAACACAACTGATGTCATCCTAGGGGTTAATGCTTAAGGCTGTGGTCGGCAACCTGGGGCTCTCCAGCCACATGCGGCTCTTTGGCCCCTTGAGTGTTCTCACGCCACTTCTTCAAAATAGACTCGCCCAGGCCGAAAGCCGATGTCTGCGCGTGGGCTACAAAGTTTCAGTCGCACTGTACGTGTGCGCCCACACGTGGTATTTTGTGGAAGAGCCACACTCAAGGGGCCGAAGAGCCGCATGTGGCTTGCAAGCCACAGTTTGCTGACCACTGGCTTAAGGGATTTGTCACGCAAGGGCCCACACAGAGTTACTTGAAGCCACTTTTCGGCCTCTTGTTCCTCCTCCAGGGGGTCTACCACATGACTAATGACGTGCCAAGAGGGGAAAGGTCAGGGAGGGTCCGAGCTGCATGACGAGGGGTGTGCTGGGAGGAAACTCAGTGGGGTTTGAGGTCCTTGTTTTCCCAGTTTTGCCTTTGCTAGGCACTGGGAGCTCTCTGCCCTGGTGACCTGTTCCTGGCCCATTGTCTTTGCTGTCCTCATGCCTGTCCTCCTGCCCACCACACTGCTGTGAACACTCTTGTGTCACGGTGATGTACATGCCAAGGGGTAAATCCTGCTTCTCTGATGTGCCACTACTACAGTTGACCCTCCAGACATGTCCTGCCCTCTGTTCTGCTCTCTCCCTGCTCTCCTGCACACAGTCCGGGAAATCGCGGACTACCATGTTTCCCCGAAAATAAGACATCCTCTGAAAATAAGACCCACTTACAGGTTTCCTTCTGAGTGAAATATAAGGCATCCCCCCGAAAATAAGGCCCCCCTATGCTAAACATGAGAGATTTGGTCCACTGATTCTGAAAGAAATGAAGTCACAAGAAATTCCCCAGGAAATTCAGGAATTGGATTGCTATGATGATGTTCCAGAAGATAATGACATGATTGACATTGAATAAATGAGTAAATTCTTGATACTGTAGGATTCACAGTTTGTCTGGTTTGTGTTGACAACTACCGTACTATCGTACCGTATACAGGTAATAAATGTCCTTTATTTTCATTTAACAATAAATGTGTACCATATTCTTCTTCATGGAAAAATAAGACATCCCCTGAAAATAAGACCTAGCGCATCTTTGGGAGCAAAAATTAATATAAGACACTGTCTTATTTTTGGGGAAACAGGGTATTCCAGTGGGATGGGACTATAAATCCTCCTTCCCTGGCTTCCTCATGGAAGAAACCGTGTGATCTTAAGTCCCTTTCCAGAATTTGGGAGTTTTAGGCAGCATAACATTAACATAGACATTTACAGAAAAACTAGAGGCCCGGTGCACGAAATCTGTGCACAGGAGTGTGTGTCCCTCAGCCTAGCCTGCACCCTTTCCAATCTGGGACCCCTCGAGGGATGTCTGACTCCCCCTTAGGGGGATCAGTAGGATCGGGACTAAAGGGGCAGTCAGACATCCCTCTCACAATCCAAGATGGTTGGCTCCCAACTGCTTGCCTGCCTGCCTTTCTGATTGCCCCTAAGTGCTTCTGCCTGACAGCCTTATCACCCCTAACCACTCCCCTGCCAGCCTAATTGAAACTGCTCCCCTGTCAGCCTGTTTGCCCCTAATTGCCCTCCCCTGGAGGCCTGGTCCCCCCAACTGCTCTCCCCTGCAGGTCTGGTCCCCCCAACTTCCTTCCTCTGCTGGCCTGGTCACCCCTAATTGCCCTCTCCTGCTGGCATGATCACCACAACTGCCCTCCCTTGCAGGCCTGGTCCTTCCCAACTCTCTCCCCTGCTGCCCATCTTGTGGCGGCCATCTTGTGTCCACATGGGGGCAACCATCTTGTGTGTTGGAGTGATGGCCAATTTGCATATTACTCTTTTATTAGATAGGATTGAGGATGGGCACTTGAACCCTTGCTCCTGGAAAATCACTTCCTTTGGCTAAATGGGGCTTAGAATTGAGTTACTGTACCAAGAATGGAAGAGCATTGGTATCACCTTTGGAGTTTGAAAGCCGCCTTTTGAGTAATTGTTACATACTTTTGCCTTCAACCTCCATTCCCAGCGTCTCACCCACAAGCAGCCAATCTAGTGTTTTTGATTCGCATTTGCCGTAGTTTGCTGACCACTGCCTTCTACCCTACCTTTTATATACATGCAGACATAAGTGGGACCCTAACACGTGAGTTCTATAGGTATCTTTAATTAAAATGATACTGTACTTAAGTAAACAAATAAAAGGCTAGATGGCTAGAGTAATAGGTGGACTTAACATTTTTTTAAAAAAAACCTATTATATATACTTTTAATAGTCAAGAAAGACAATCTAATTTTTCTTTCTTATCCTGAGACATTAAAATGTATTGCTCATCTGACAAATTTGATGGTTGTTGTTTTTTTTGTGGATTTTTTTTTTTTTTTTTTGGAGTCTTACTGGAATGACCTAGACTTCTGCTTTTCTAATGAAGTTATTTATTTATTATATATTTGAGGGCTCTAAAAACTCACATCTTCTCTTTGCTGTGTGCTCCCCTTTCTAACTAGTGTGGGAAGAAGAGACCCTCTGGCCGCGCTGGCCCGGGAGTACGGTGGCTCGAAGCGCAACGCTCTGCTGAGATGGTGCCAGAGGAAGACAGAAGGCTACGCGGTACGGTGTCCACCGCTTCCAAGCCGCTCTGGCTCTGGTGTCCAAGCCAGTGTGTGCCGTGTGTCCTGTGGTGCATGGCGCGGCCATCTTTCGGGGCTGCTGGTTGCAGTTGTGCGTGGCCCAGAGGTATCCAGCAGCGGCTGGTGGGCTGGGAGCCAGTCTGCACTCCAGCCCCGCGCCTGTCCCGAAGTGCAGAACCGTCTCCTGCGGGAGGGCTCCTCTTTGCTCAGAGGAGGCGTAAGGCCACTTCGGCTTTTGCGGAATCATCTTCCCAGAAAGGGCCCCTTTTCCTAATTGCCTCTAGGTCCCGCCTAGCTGGGCCTTCAGCATTTCTCTGTTCCTTTAAGAGTTGTTTGCATTTAGTTTAGGAATTTCCATTTACCAGAGCAGTGTTTTCTGTGGAAGTTAGACAAAGTAACCCTGATGTGATGTAAGCTTTTCCATCAGGACCGTGGCACACAGAGATAAGTGCATCAGACAGTTTCAGGAACAGCCGCACTCACTGCAGAAATCCAGCCCTGCCCCTCCCGCCGGTGACAGCTGCCGTTATCTCCCTCAGAGCTTTCTGCTAAAGTGTGCACCCCACATGCTAACTTAGTTTTGTCTGCATTTGAACTTTATAGAATGAAATTTTAACTGTAATATTGTACCTGCCATTTGGGGAGATTTTGTGTTTTAATGATCAGATGATCAGAATGAAGTTTCTGCTGCCCCACGGGTGGGGGTGTGCATAAATGCCGCCTCCGGGGAGGGAAATATGTGCCAGGAATCTCAAACATGAGTGCCCTTTAGCTCAGGAATTGTGTTTCCAGAAAGTAATTGTGAAGACTATGAGGATACAATTTTGAACAAGTTGATTACAGTTTTATTATTTAAAGTTATTTTTAAAGAACTAGAAATAATACAGATTTCTAACAATAGGGGAATCAAGCTTAAGAATCTTGCTTTGTGAAAATATATTTAAAGGAACTAGAAAAAGTGTGCCCACTATATTAGGTGGACAGGTTCTAAAGCAATATAGTATGCTTCCAGTTCTGTAAAAATTATTTATATAAATGTTATATTAACATTAACAGCAGTTATCACTGGATGAGTACTTAAATTTTATTCATGCTTTCCTGTGAATTTTTCATTTTCTGCAATGAGCATGTAAGTTTTTAACAGAAAGAAATATTTTAATTGCATCTTTTTAAAGGAAAGAAGCCAGATCCAAAAGGCTGCATATTATATGGTTTCCTTTGTATGAAATGTCCAGTGTGAGCAAAGTCACAAGTCAGAAAGTAGATTGGAGGCTGAGGGCGGGAGGCCAGGAAGTGGCTGGACACAGGTTTCTTTGGTGATGATACACTTGTGCTGGAATTAGTGGTGTTGGTTATATGACCTGTGACTATACTAAAAGCTACTGAATTGTACATTTTTAAAGGGTAAACTCGCCTGGCTGGCATTTCTCAGTGGTTGAGCTTTGATCTATGAACCAGGAGGTCACGATTCAATTCCCAGTCATGGCACATGCCTGGGTTATGAGCTCAATCCCTAGTGTGGGGCATGCAGGCGTCAGCCAATCAATGATTCTCTCTCATCGTTGTTTCTATCTCTCTCCCTCTCCTTTCCTCTCTGAAACCAATAAAAAATATTTTTTAAATACATAAATAAAAGGGTAAAATTTATGATATGTGAAATATCTTAGTAAACCTGTTATTAATTTTTAAAGGGCAATTAGAAAGCTAATATGGGGGATCTGAGATGGATAAGGGCAGAGCGGTAGAAACTGCTATTTAAATTATAAATCTCATCAAAATAACTTTAAACATACCTGTGTATTACTTGGTATAATAAAAAAGAATTGAAGTAAAACAAAATGAGAGAGATGCAAGGTATGTTGGTTTTTATTTGGTAGGTGGGATCCACAGGTAATCGTGTCATTGTTATGATTCAGAGCCCAAATATATTTTTTGTATCAAATGTTATATAATGACATAATTTAGAGGCAAAAGTTTGAAGGAAACAGCCATAACAGTTATAATCAACTGGAGGCCCAGTGCATGAAATTTTGTGCACTGGAGGGGGATCCCTCAGCCCAGCCTGCATTCTTTCGCAGTCCAGGATCCCTCTGGGATGTCTAACTGCCAGGACCCCTGGCTCCTTACTGCCCACCTGAAGTGGAGGCAGGAGAGGCTCCCACCACCACTGGCTCACCAGCCGTGAGCCCACATTCTGGCCAAGTGGCGCTCCTGTGTGGTAGCGTACTGACCACCAAGGGGCAGCTCCTACGTCATAGCAACCGGTTGTTCTGCCATTTGGTTGAGTCTATGGATGGCCGACTGCCAGCTTAGGCCCTCCTCCCTAAGCCATCAGTCAGATATCCCCTGAGGGCTCCTGGACTCCAAGGGAGCGCAGGCCAGGCTGAAGGACCCTCCCCTCCAAGTTCAGGAATTTCGTGCACTGGGCCTCTAGTATAGAATAATTAAACCAGGTCTTTCTGAGGAAATTTTGAAAGTGAAAGAACAGGGCACCTAAGGCATCACAGTGTGCAGAACAGGCTTGGGAGCCTGCAGGGTAGGCCCCTCCACTTCTCTGCCAGCCACTTCACAGCCATGTGGCAAGCCGATTTTTATAACAGCATCTTTTTAATTAAAATATAAACATAAATGACTGATAAAGCTTTTTTAGAAAAAGTGACACTTTCCCAAATAATGTCTTTTCCCTGCTGTAACTCAGAATTTTTTCACTTTGGCCTGGCCTTTTTAGAGACTGTAAAAATGAACGTTTCTATCATTAGAGCTCTGCTATTTGAGGTAGAGACATGAGGAATGTGGGTATGGTCCTGGTACTCTGATTTAGGTCCTCAACATTTCTAAATGAGCTTGATTGGAGCACAGTCACCTGGTCACTCACTTATTGCCTGTAGCTGCTTTTACACGGAAAGTGCACAGGAATGTAAAACTACATATGACTTTTAAAACCAAAACTCTTCTGTACCTGGGCCTGTAACAGAAGTTGGCCGGCCCCTCCCTTAGATAAATATGTACACGGTATCCTGCTGTTCACATCCCATTTGATCCTTGCATGGTAGTAAGAAGCAAGTGTTCAGATAGCAAAAGATTTAAACATTTATGGTTTCTGTAGCAAGAAATCGCCTGGCAGGGGATACACTCACAAAGGCACAAATAAGGTATCATTGAACCTGCTTCTAGCCAATTAGCTAGGAGCTCCATATTCTTTCCTGTTAGAGAAAAAGCAGCCTTTGTCTTGTTCCAAGCAAGCCTTATTTTGCATCTGGAAAGAGCACCCTGTAGCTGGCCAAGTTCTGTTTTTCCTCTCCGCATTCCCACGGGCAGCACTCGCACGTGTGCGTCCAGGGCCAGCAGCCTGCGCGGTGCAGGCTGTTTGGGGCTCCAGCTGTTTTCCTTCTTGAGACAGGACCCTTGAGAGCCACAGGCACAATTCAAAGAATATGAAATGCTTTGTTTTATTTACTGTCATTAAAGTGGTTCTTTTCTGGCCTCATCATAAAGATAGGTTCTCAGTAGACATGACTGTCATTATTGGCCTCCACTCTGTTGAGGCCCTTTTTTCACCCGGTGTCTCAGCTTCTGCAGCTGCTTATGGCACATCGTGATTTGTGTAGACGTTTCATTTTTTAAATATATTTTTATTGACTTTAGAGAGGAAAGGAGAGGGGAGAAGGGAAGAGAGGGAAAATCATTGGTTGGCTACCTCTTGCACACCCCACACTGGGCATCCAGCCCACAACCCCGGGCATGTGCCCTGACCAGAAATCAAACCATAGCCTCCTGGTTCATAGGTCAATGCTCAACCACCGAGCCATGTCAGCCGGGTTGTGTAGACATTTTAAATGGCACTAGGTATTGTTCTATATTCTAAGGCAAGTAGAGTTTATTTGGAAAGAAGTTGAAAGGCTTTATTTCGCAAGCTGTGGTGGACATACAATCAGCTCTCGGTAATCCATAAACCCACTCGGCTTTGTCTCCTGAGTCGCATGCTTACAAGCCCCTTTCCCATTCTTAGTTGTTTGTGCATGTATGAAACTGTGAGTAATAATAATTGTTTTTTAACAAAAATATGAGTTAAAGGGTGTGGAAATACCAGGGAGGTTGTTTGCACAGCAGATGGGGTGGGATTCTCCCACCTTCCTCTGTGGTACGTGGTCAGAGGAGCAGACCTCATGTCGTGCACTGCCTGAGCTGGCCAGCCTGCCTCTTCCCAAGAGTTTGGAAGGAGAACTGAGAGCAAGATTACTCTAGACTCTAGAGTCTAGAGCAAGCATGTGAAACTCAAAGGCTAACACGGGCCAAATAGACGAGGTTTAAGTTTATGTGGCTGCAAAAAAAACACAAAAGCTTCAGTTTCCATAGAAACGTAGGTTTATTTTGATAGAGACATGCTGAATACAAAGAGCTGAAATAAAGGAATCATCGTTAACATAAAATAATAGAACATTTTAGTCCTGACTGGTTTGGCTTAGTGGATAGAGCGTCGGCCTACAGACTAAAGGGTCCCAGGTTTGATTCCGGTCAAACCTGGTTGAGGGCAGAGAAACCAAGATGGCGGCATAGGGTAGACACCCAAATGCAGCCTACCAAAACAAATTTGAATTTAGAACTGGAAAACAGGGGAAACATCACCCTGAACCGCCGGACGACTGGCTGAGGGGAGGCTCTACCATCTGGGAAGGAGAGAGAAGGCACGCTGAACCTCAGGAACTGTGAAGGTGCGGTGAACTATGCACGAAAAGGTGGCTGCCAGACTTCGCTGCTGGCTTGCTTGCGGAGCGTGAAGAGGGCAGGCTGAGTTTGCTACTGGCTTACTCCCTGTGTGTGGAGAGGGTGGACAGCTAATGCGCAGCAGCTAGCTTCTATGTTCGGGAGGAAAATAGAACCACCCTATTGCTCTGACAGATGGGAGAGGCCAGACTGTCAGGCAGTGGGCAGAGATCTCTCGGAGGTGTGTGAAGCCAGCGGCCATTACTGCGGGACTCA